TATTACATGAAAGCCTGTATTTAAATAATTGTTAAAATTGAGGGTAAAAAAGTTGTTAAAACTAAAATAAATTTTAAAAATTTTAATATAAATTAATTAAAAAATATAATTAATAAAAGCACAACTACACATTTAACTATTTAAATTGTTATAAATTATAAAATTTGCTGAGATGACCAAAATACATCTAGATTTTTATAAAGAAGTTGAATGGACAGAAAATTTGAAGTGGAAATATGACGGAAACATCCCACACATTGCCCACTGCAAGGGGCAAGGGCATTATTACTCACACAGATAAAGTTTAGGTCACCATTGCTCCACCGAAGGGTGGTGCAGAAACCAACAACTAAAGTGGAACAGCTGTCTGCCTTCTGCATGTCTGCTAGCCACTAGCGGAGACCAGGGGAGGCCCGCCCTAAGAAAAAATGCACATGGAGGAGGACTAAGCGGTGAAGGAGTAATTGTGGGGCATTTATCCCATATTGACTCTATGTGTATATATTTAAATGTTATATATAAGATTTTATACAATTTCAAAGTAATCGGTCTTTTTTCTTGTTTCAAAAAACCTAATCCCCTTAAGTGGGTTCCCCTTCGATTATAGGGCATTTATCCCATGTCAATTTTATTTGTGTGCATTTAAATAATATACATAAAATTTCATGCAACTCAAAAGCGTTTGTATATGTACCTTCTACCTTGTTTCAAAAGCATTGAAGGAGTAACTGGCCTTGTAACCAACGATTCGGTTCTAAATTTTAAGTGTTTAGATAAGGTGCTTAGACGTTCGAATTTTATTATTGTGGTGAACTCCATTAAAAAATAACTTGTAAGTCGCGTACTTCATTTGAAGGGATGAATATTCACCTAATCTGAAAATTAATTACTAATAATTAATTCATTAATTTTTTAATTATTATCCTTGTCAAAAAAATTAAAAAAAAAACAAGCGTTGAAGGAGTAAACGAGGAGACTAATTGGAAAGAGTATATGCGACAATGCTGGTGAGATTTCAAGTTAACATCACGGAAACATCCTGGAAGGTAGGAGGAAAATGAGGTGTCCTTGATATATTAAGTGTATGACATTTTGAATTTTTTCTTTTTTTTTTTTAAATTATGTTTTTAATATATAAGTTAAGATAATATTCATTATAT